TATACTACATACATTATACACTTCTTATATTTACTCTACAGAGAAGGAGGAAATATATTAAGTACTACCAATAACACATATTAAGGATACAAGCCGAAAGTGAACAATTTCCTTTAAAAAATAGTAAAGAAGTAAACTACACACTGTCCTGAGTCAGCTGGGATAGACTCCAGTCACCCTCGACCCTGGTGAGGATTAAGCGGTGGATAGATGATGGATGGATGAAATTCCCCAAACAAAAGACGAAAAGAGGACATAAAGTAAACCATGTCTGGATATGTGTGTGAGTCGACTCAGCGGGGATCATATTAAACAAAAAAACATGATCTACAGGAGAATAACTATGTGAAACAATACAGAATAGTTGTGCTGTGCTGCCATCATTTAGTGTTTTCCTTCATACACCTACATTTCCATCACAAGTTGATGTAAGAAAAGGAACAAATTAGTGCACAGAAATTCATGAAAATGCAGGAAATTAAGTGTTTAAACTAAACCTACACTCATGCTGAGTGCACTGTAACAATGCAAAAGAATCCGTCTTCAATAAAATGTGCCATCATCCTACAGAATGACAGAATTATATATTTATGTGTTTAACACTGTTGTATTATTGGTGGATTAAATTGTTATTCCGATCACTGAGTAGTTAGAAAATTTATCAGCAATTGTTTTGATGACAGATTACTAATTCAAACTAATTATGTTTAGGTTTTTCAAATGTGAAGATTTCATATGTCTGAATCTGCTAATTAACTAACAATTAAAAAACTACCTAGCTGCAGCCTATGTGTGATCTGTTTTAATATTTATGGGTAGATTCATGTGTAGGAATGCATCATGTTTTACATGTTTTATATGTAAGACTCTCCTCTACTAATGGATGCAGAGGAGTCAAAAGTACAATATTTAAATGTAATTAGGTATAAATGGAAAAAATAACTTTACCCAAGTAAAGTATGGACTACTTCTGCATAGTATCCCAGTTTCTCAGCATTACCTTCTATTTTCATGCTTCATAAATCGTCATTTCCTGCAGAAAATCTATTAGTTGCTGCTACATTTGCTGCTTTTTTATTGTATCAGTCCACGTGCAGCAGAAACAGGCTCTTATTTTGTTGCACTCTTTTTCTAGTTTTTCTCATGAACCAGCTCTGTTACTTACATGTTTATGAGGAAGTAAGCCATCTCCGCGTCCGTTTTGAAGCCCTTCTTGTCCCGCAGCTTCTTCCAGGGGCTGAACGCCGGGCCGAGGTTCACTCTGGTCCTGCCCCGCTTCAGCCTCCGGGCCTCCTCCGTCAGCGGCCTCCTGGGCCTCTTCACCGGCGGGGTTTCCTCCGTAGCTCCGGCCTCCTCCATGTTCACCATTTATACCTGCTTGTGGCTAAAACATGATGAATTTAGGCATAAAAACAAAAGATTTCACTGAGCGTATTTATTTTTCTGTTTGAGACTTTTGGCTCTTCTCCTTTGCCGTAGCTCAGCTTTTTGACAAAACTTTATTGAACCGGAAAGAAATGACAGAACAAGGGTCCTCAGGAACCCAACAAATACGTTCACTTATCAATGTATTATTATTTTTACAGTAATATCTAAAACGAATTAGGTGCACTGCATGAATTTAAATGATAATACTAATAATACTAATAATACTAATAATAATAATAATAATACAAACTTTATTTATAGAGCACTTTTCAAAACAAATGTTACAAAGTGCTTTTCAATCAAATAAATTCAAAATTAAAATACTATAAGCACAAAGAGTAAGTGATAAAAATAGAAAGCGCACAAATAAAGCAGGAAGCTAAAAAAAAACCTAAAAACTTAAAAGCTCTCTGATAAAAATGTTTTAAGAAGTGACTTAAAATACAGATAATAAAAAAATCACACTATTTGTGATACTTAATTTATCAAATATAGAGTAAAGAAAATATGTGGTGTGCAAACATGTAAAAAATGTATGATTAAAAACATAAAATACCAATGTAACACTACATAGAACAATGTATAAGATAATAAATATATATAATAAAAAAGAAATAATCATTTGAATTAGGATTTTACTGATTTAATGGGCCTTTGTGTGTGACTATTATTTGAGTTGTATATAACCCGATTCAAATGTTTAATGTATTTGATGGGTATATGTTATTCTTGTGCAGTTTTGTAGCGCGACAGATAAGTTATCCCTCTAATTTGTTTATGAAAGTATCTTTTAAAGTGACAGGTGGAGCATTTATCACCCTCTTTTTAGCATATTGGAAATATCCCAACTCTACAACATATCAACATTGCAGCAACAGCAAAAAAGAAATGACAGAAATGCATGCGTTTCTATAAAACATAATGCTGTTAGGACAAACAGCATAGTTTTATTGCTCAGCTTTCTGCAAGGGTACAAGAAGTTTATTACTTAGCTTCTTTATTGTCCTTATGTACAGGTGTCAGTTACAAACTCACAGAGCAGCTGATGTGAAAAACTATGAACACATATGCTGTAATAATAAATACAAAAACAGATAGAAATCAAAAAAAAAAAAACATGGTGCAGTTAAAAAATCTAACAATTTTTTTTGTACTGTATTCAATCAAAAGTCATTAACACACACACACACGCAAGCACACAAACACACACACACACAAGAGTTTGCACAATTTGTTGTTAAAGCATGGGGAGCAAATTTGCCAAACATTAAACAGCTTGTTGGGGTTTGTGTTACAACATCATTTAACTATGCGATTTTAACTGGCTTTAAATTTATCAAGATCAATCACGGACAAAAATCTCAATATATCACAGACACTTGAGAAGGTAAATAACCTGCAAATTTAAAATTACCGAGACCCTCTGATGGATTTGGCTCCTTAACTGGAGAAAAGTGTGATTTCCACTCAGCCCCGACGACTGAACCAGCCAGAAAAAAACACTGCCAACAGAAAGTTAACAGAAAGCAGAAGTGGACTGTGTGCGCCGGACAAACATACGTGTGCATATCAAGAACGTGTGTGTGTGTATATATTTTTATATATATATATATGTGATATCTACATAAAAAATAATAATCAGTCCAATAACTATTTGGTAAATAGAAGGAAGTGTTGGATTATAACTTGGAGCCCAAGTATGCATAATGTGTGCAAAAAAACTTGTAATGCATTTCTTTTCTGCCTCTGAGTAAAGTTATAAAAGGTAAGATCAAATAAAAATCTCTGTAACTGCACAAAAACCACAATTTGTTTTGTCTCGTGACCACAAATTTGAAAAAAAAATAAAAAAATAAAAAAATCAAGGTTTGATACGAGGAGTATCTGCTGACAAAACTGTTCATGTTTGCAAATAAATGCAGGCAGCATACAAAAAAAAAAAAGAATATTTAACAGATTTGTCCTAGTCGGAAAGTTTTTAAGAGTAACAATTATGCAAATAAATAGGCTTTTATCTCTCAAGCATCCATTCATGCAGCGGGTTTTGTGGATGGAGGCTCTGTTGATGGAGATGCTCCTCTCTGCTTCTCAGTGACGTTTCATTTTGGTTCAACTATGTTTTTACTGTGTAGCACCCAGAATTGAGCAGCAGTCAACCTCCAGCATTTGCAGCTTTAAAGGATCTACCAACAGCATACAGTCAGGGGTTTTTTTTTTGCTTGTAAAATTCATGTTGCTTTATGAAACTTTACTACCATCTGTGCTATCAGGTGTTCCGCAGCGGCGCAGACATCCAGAGCTGCAAATGTGGTCATTCATGTTGTACTATAAAGGTATGCGATAGTCAAACCAAAAGAAAACATCACTTTAAACTGCCAGGTTTTATTCTATAATGGGTTTAAAGGCAGGGCCACGATATAGTTTCAGTTACAACCAGCTTTACCCCTCCTCACATACGAGCCTAATGTAAAATAAAAAAATTAAAAAAAAAAACATAGGACGACTTCACCTGAGAATGCAAAAAGGTCTGTGGCAGACACCAACATGCGTGCATTTAAACTGAACAGAAAGAACAAGCAACAATATACAAAATAGCTATGTATTTGTACATATATACTCGAAAAATTACAGGTGTATAATAGTTTTTTTTTCTTTTTTTAACTCTGAATATTTCTAATGTAGTTGTATAGCAAATGAAACGTGATATATTTTAATCTAACGTGAAGAAAGCACTCCTGCCATCACCCCTTAGTTTGTAAAGTGCTCTAAAGTGACAACAGAGAGAGAGGAAAAGAAATACTTCTGAATATTTATACTGATGATGTGACTGGAAATAGACATCTGCCTCGAATAGCTTTGTGTCAAGCCTCGTCCTGTGTGGACAGTTGTGCCCTTTTCACATATGATCTGACATCAAGTGTGCTGGGTTAAGCTTGAGTGGATAAGAAAAAAACCCCAAAAACCCAAAAATAAAACATGCATACTGCCAGAAGCGAATGTGTAAAAGGAAGAGGCTCAAACAGTGAGGTTCAATTAGGTCTGCAGTGACACGCAGGACACGGTGGAGGAGATGAAGGGGAGCTACTTTCCTTGTATACAAATGTGCTTTTGTATACACATGCAGAAGCATACACACACACACACACACGTTTACAAGAGCTGTGGCCACACTGCAGCGATTTAAGGGGGAAAATAGAATTCATACCTTCTTCTTCACCAGAGTCCGTCCATCAAAAAATGCCACAAAACATCAGACCTACACCCACATCAGCCAGCATGAGTTCCATTTCAAAATGATACGTCCACTGGTCAAATGATATGGTTTTACAGGTACAAAATGGATGCTGGTGTAAAAAAAAAATCTAACTATGAATGGATCACTTTACTGTACAAACTATTCCGTTTTTGGATTGGAGTTCTATCACCTTAGCCATCCTCCCAAACGATGATACATAGCATTTTGGAATGAAACCCGTCAAATATCGAAGCATTACACTGAGGTAGGATGAATTTGTAGCGCTCCCACAGGATGAAGCACACCAACTCTGCAGCCATGCGGATTAGAAGGTGTATTAGTTGAGGTTAAGATGGCTACCAAGGGAAAGATACGGCTACCTGCAGTGTTAGAGATTCAGTAGCATGACATGGATCAGTCAGTGAAAACTGCAAAACAAAATAGCGAATCATGGATGTCGAATGTTTGGGAAGATTTTTTAAAAGAAACACATTATGCAAGATGGTAAAGTGTAAGTTGATACCACGAGTCCTCGTCTGATTGGATTATTTTTCTGACTGCAAAGCGGGCAGACGTTTAAAAAAAAAAAAAAAAAAAAAAAGCCAACTTACAATCCTGGTAAGAAACAAAAAATGTTAAGCAGCTCTTAGCAGCTCCTAGTTTGCTGTCTGTATTTCACAAGAACTAAATCCAAAAAAAAAGGAAGAAAGAAAAACACGTTGGGGAGGACTTTATAGCAGCTGTTCAAACAGATATCGATAAGGGAAGAATGTGGACCGTGGTGAGAGAAGAGGAAGACTGTCGGCTCTGATCGAGCCTGTCGGCACGTCGCAGTGACAGTTAGTCTATCAGAGTCCTGCACAGTTACACGTGTTCACACGCAAACACGCTCTCGCATTTGGCTCTCATTCCACTGCGAAGCCACATGTCTCCTCGATCGCCGTCAGTAGCTTGTCGTATAATTTGTCGTAGCTCTCGTAGGGCGGAATGTCAATCCGATTGAAGCTGGGGAAAAAAAGAGGAAAGAGTCCATGTAAATAGCAGATCAATAGCAAACAGGCCTTTTTCACACAAGACATGTCACAGTAGGAAAAAGAACAAAAGAACAGGTGGAAATGCCACGATTGATGGCGGCTGAATTCCAAATAGGGGTACATAGTTAGATCTAAGTATCATGGGAAATTTGGAAAGAACAGAGCCAAACTGAATGCTATTTGCCTGTGCTTTTTCTTGCTGTGACAAGTCAGTTGTGTGCAGTGGAAAACATCTAATGAGAACATTGTTTTATTGCAAAATGAATTCATTTGTTGTGCATGTAACGTGTCTGCAGATGTGTGCGACACACACCAGGTATGGGCTTTGGGCAGATTATTGGTGTTGGCATCGATCTGATGAATGGTGAAGAGTCTGGGCCCTGCAGCGCCTGCAATCAAAACACAAACACGATCAATCAGCTGCACTTTAGTTTTACTGGTAAGTTACTCACCAGCATCTCAGCTAATAAAGTCCTGACCCATTTTTCAAATCTCGCCTCTGCTGACGTGTTTTCTAGGTTTACTCTTTGGAAAAAGAAGTTCCTGCAATGTTCTGTTTTCCTCTGTGTCTGAATAAAATGTGACTAATCAAACTAAGATAAACCCATTAGTCTCACATGCTGCTATTCTCCAATACTAGCAATATAAAGAGCCTGTTATCTCTTTTAAAATGACAAAGTCTCCAAACTTTACTGACAAGCATTGTATATTTCAGAACACTGTCAAAAAGCTGTATCATCTTTCAAAGCCTCCAAAATAGGATGTAAGAATCCCTCCATGAGCTGGGGGATAGAAGCTAAACTAGAAGCGGATCTCAGCTCTCTAAACTTGGGCTGAGAAAACCACCAGAGCTGCGAACAGAGACTTGATGAGAGCACAGAGAGAGTCGCCTTTAATACCCTGTAAAGCCTTGAAGCCCTGCAGTGGGACTCTGGATGAGCCGGTCACGAACTGCAGCAGCCGAGCCCTCCTCTCCTCGTCAAACGACTCCACAGCTTTCCAAAACCACTTGACGATGTTGCTGTCGGGGGTGCAGTGCTTCAGACGGGTGTTGGACTTCCAGTCAGAGATATCGATCTTCCCCAGGCCACACACGATCAGCTGAAAACACAGAGACGCTTTTAAGTCAATGGGAAAATATTTTATGACAATACCCGAGTGGGTACTTCGGAAGATGAAATAAAAGACAATGAAAATAAAAACGACAGAAGATGAACAACTGATATAGTGTTGTGTTTTCTTAAGAGGGGATGCAAGTTGAACTGGATGACTTAGAGTTCTGTTGTACCTCCAGTTCCTTCTCGTCGAAGGATTTGAGCAGGTGCTGCGGAATAACCTCATTGAAGCCTTTCTGCAGGGCCAGGAACTGAGCCTCGATGCCATGAAGGAAACGCCAGTTTACATACAGCCTGAACACGAGAGAGCAGCGAGGGCAAAGTTAGTTTAACAAACTGGAAACACAGATTGGTCATCTTGACACTGAATTAATGACAACGCCACTGCCACAGGAAAGTGAAAATGTGGTGCTTGTGTGGGTTGAAATGAAACCTGCGTACAGTATGGTGTTGTTGCACTCTTGTATTTGTGTGTGCATGTGTCGCTTCGTACCTGACGTATTCCTTCTTGGTGTCCTCGGTGACGGGGATACTCTTCCCGTTGGGCTTCAGTTCATGTGGGATGATTTCTCCGTAGGCATTGTGCTCGACACAGAAGGTGTGGTCCAGGACACCGGTGATGTCATTATCCCTGAGCAAAGAAAGAGAGAGAAGGCAGAGTATGTCACAACAGAAACAAGAGCACAACCTCATTTTGTTTCATTTTTTTAGGATTTGGTGGAATTTTTTTATCTTTTTTTAAACTGGAAAAAAAAGAGACAAACTAATAGGAGTATACTGTCCATGTGTTTTGTTGTGATAACTTTTTGTCATTTAATTTATTCACCGTCACATGGTCAGTGATGTCTCCTCCAGGGTTGTGTTTTTCTGAGATCAGATGATCAACTGAATGAACACTAGGGGGTGCTGAAGTCATTGTAATTGGTTTGGTTGTTGAGGGCAGAGTAGCCAAGTTTATGTGTGCACCCTTAAAGCTTTTTTTTGTGTGTGTGTGTGTCCATGTATGCATATACTTTTCTTTCCCCTGTATCCATGATGCTCCTGTGGTGCTTACTTTTTAATCTGTATCTGCATCTGTGAAATTAGTTTTACTTAGCTCCAGGTATGTTCTAAGGAAGAACTTTAAATAAGTGCTGGGTAACCCTCTACTACCACTTATTTGAACAAGAAAACCACTTTTGCTTAGTGTGTTTTTAACTTTGGGTTGCAGAGCAGTTAGAAAGCAACATATTGCCTGGAAAAAAAGGTGTCTTACAGAATCCAGACGAGACTGTTGTGGAGGTCAGGGTCGACAGATTCCATGTCGTCCAGCGTGATCGGTTTACCCAGCAGCTGTTTGTAGAAGGGAAGAGTGAATCCTCCGTCGATGTAGTGGCCGTGAAACACCGCCATGCCCATGATGCGTCCCACAAAGTGGAAGTACGACAGATGCTCCTACAGAATAAACAGGGAGTGTTAATGCAGATTCAGATTATGTAGCTTTCATCACATTGCCAATACCTGAGAGGTACACTCTGGAGAGTAAATGGTCAATTACAGCATCAGAAAATTAAATAAATAACTGATTACATACGAAGCAGAATCCAATTACCTAAACAAAGTTATAGTTTAATCATGACAACAAATCTCTTACTTGCATTTTTACTTTCACGTGAAATTCATGTAATATCACAAGACGGATCCGTGACCCGACTAATGACAGATCACGGATCTGTCAGAAGTTATGACTGTGCAACTAAATAACTCGTACTGGGTTGACAGCAGAGTCTGGGTTGATCTGCAGAGTGTAGATGTCGTCTCTGGAGTACTGGAACAGGCCGTAGTAGGGGTTCAGCATCTCGTGGGACAACAGGTACAACCATTCCCTAACACACACACACAGAAACAGATTCAATGTGAAAATGTAATACACAACACACCAAACATAAATAAACATTTGATATTTAAAAGTATTACCTTGCAACTCCGCCATAATCCAGTCCCTCCTCTCCTCGGAATTTGATCATCAGTCTTTTCCAAAGATCTTTCGGACGCATCTTCATCACCTGCCGGTACGACTCCTACAATTCAGCACATAAAGAAAATGTGTTATTGTAGAGTTAATGAAACCAGACTGTCTTCACTACCCCAGGTCTTGAACCTTGACCATTTGTTGGATGGAAAAAGAGCAACTTTGCAACTTTACTTGTGCGTGTATTAAAGTGTGTGAAGTTGTCATCTAAAAACCAAAGATAATTTATGGGACAGACGCACAGACTGCAGAAATAAACCAGAAGAGCCTATGCTGTGCAGCTGTGCGTCACTTTGTCTGGGTTTGGAGAAGTGCTGTGCTTATTTCAGCATTACAACACGAATGAAATAATGTATTTAGCAAAAATAGATTAGAACTTCCTCTTTACTATCACGGATCGGCATTTTGCAACGAGGCAAAAAACCCATTGGTGTAATAATAACTATGAACATTATGAAGCTTTGAGTAATAATGAAAACTGCTGGGAAAACAACAGCATTAATCATGGAGCTACTTTCCTCTCTGTAATCAGGAACGTGGTCTTTCAGTTTGAGAACATTATCATCCCCTCCCCTCAGTATGACTTATAAAAAAAATAAAAACCTAGCGTGTTTCCTTTTTGCATTACGTAAGCGTCATGTCTGTTCTGCAAGAGAAGTTCAGAAACTCGAAGGCCACACTCCAGTAAACAATCTCCTGCAACGGCTACGGCGCTGCTGCAACTGCAAAAGCACGACAGATGTAGGCTGCACAGAGTCAGCTGGAAGATGCTATAAAACACATATTTTGAATTCTCCAAAGTTATGGAGTCTTAAGATGACGTCTTCTCGACCACACAGCCAGCCTGCAGGAAATAAATCTACTCTTCCAACTCCAGACTTGTTAGTTAGCAAAAGTGCTTGTGTTGAACAGATTACTAACAAGCGTCACAGGGAGGGGAACAATGGCCCCATGATTGGGACGGCTGGCATTAGGCCTGGAAGTAAATATTGTTTTGTAATTTTTACATAGCTAGCATCACAGCTAAACTTGTACTGTTGGCCAGAGATGGCAAAAGTACTCACATTCTTTACTTAAGTAGAAGCAGAGATACTTGTGTAAAAATAGACTCTGGTAAAAGTAGAAGTACTGATTCAACTCCTGTTCTCAAGTAAAAGTAAAAAAGTACAGGTTCAGAAATGTACTTAAGTAAAAAAGCAAAAATGAGTTTTTAGCTTCGATGATTCGCGATGCCTCTTTTGATAACTCTGCAAAACGAAAAAAGTACGAAGCACACAAAATAGGATTATTTTCATCCTTTAAGAAGCTGCACAGCGCTGGTACAGAGAAAAAACATCACTGGACAGTTTTCCATTTCAGCAACATAATAAAGATTAAACCTTATAATCAACATGGAAACACTCATCTCTTCAAGACTACCAACATCTTTTATTGAGCCTCAGCAGAAGCTGCTTCTCCAAGTTCTTTGAACGAAGATGTGCACTTTTGGGTCTGAAAATCAGTCCTGCAGTGCTAAAAAGCCTCTGGCAGGCAGCTGAGGTAGGCAACGGTGTGTTGAGCTTCAGTGACAACTTGCACACTGCTGGGAAACATAAGGACGTTTGTTGTTACGTCTTATACGTCATGTCGTCATCCGCAGAGGTTGAAACAAGTAACGAGCCAGTTTTGAGAATGTAAGGAGTAGAAAGTGTAGATATTAGTGTTCAAATGGAGGACAAGTAAAAAGTCATCAGAAAAATTAATACTCAAGTAAAGTACAGATACCTGCAAAATCTACTTAAGTACAGTAACAAAGTATCTGTGCTTCATTACTTCGCACCTCTGCTATTGGCTAATTTAAATATTTAACCTTTTTTTTTTGCATTTAACTGTATTAGAACATAAAAGAGGGCCCTCATGTCGCTGAGAAGTGCTAAAACTGATCAGGAAATCAAAAATTATTTTTATAACTTTAACTACACACTTTCGATTGTAACATGTGTAAGACCAAAAAAAAAAAGGCTCTCCTATTTAGTCTAAGTAGAAGCACGTAAGAAGGTCAGTGTGCACTATGAGCTACATTTAAAAAAAACTGTATTTTAAACCATGAAATAAACGTATATAATGAAATAAAGTGCAGCTGACCAGCAATGCCTCGAGAAAAGCATTCATAATGTTAACATTATAACAAATTGCTGTATTTTATTCCTTTTATTGTATCGCCAAGTCCTGTTTTGGATTTTCTTGTACATATTTGTTGCTAAATGCTCTAATAACTTCCACAGACGACTGCTTTTATACTCGTTGAATGTGTCGCCCCAACAGGTGTGACAGTCCGTGCATGAAAGGGGTTATTATTATTATCTGTGCACTGAAACGAGTAAGGGGACCCACAGACAGCGCTTTTATACGAGATCAGCTCGTGGCGCGGAGAGCGAGCGCGTGTCAAAAGGCCAGCGGTAAACTTCACAGCTGGTTCCTCCATGGAAACTTCAAGTGGATCTGCAGGGCAGGTTTTCACACTTAACGTTCTCCTTCCACAGCTGTCACGTCAAAGTGAGATGAAGTCATATTTTTTCATTGCTCAGCTTGTAGTTATGAAGTTATGTCTGGCCACAAATACTTGCCACTGCTGCCTTCGCTCCTTTCCTCACCCCCCCCCCCCCTTTCCTCCCTCCCTCCCTCCTCACCCACCCCCATCTCCTTAGCTGCTGAAATCATCCAGAAAGAATGCCTTCGCCTTGCTAGAACAAATGATCGGGAGAGAGCGAGGGAAAGACAGACGAGAGGAGGAGAAGAAAAGGAACAGAGGAATAGTTTTCTGCGGCGTCTCGAAGGCCGCTCTGTTCTGCTTTTCCCTGGAAATCATAAAGCGGCTCCGAGTACTGGTTCTGTGCTGCCCCCCCCCGGGCTATTTCTGGTGCACGTCGTAAATGAGGTGAAAAAATTCCAGTAAAATGCAAAGATCTGGGGTTGCGAGAGTTATGCTATTGTTTTCACGCATGTCGGCCCGTGATGCTTTGGATGCAGGAGGATGAGCTTTATGCACATTATACAAATCCGAGGCGACTTCCCTCTTGTCGAGCGTTCATTCGTATGCATGTGTTTGCAGCTGAGTTCAGATGCCCCTCAGATGTTTCCTTTTAAGGGTTTAAAGCACATCAAAAACTCTTGCCTAGAGTGTCATGTTTATTAGTATCAACTATTTTTAGATGTATATTTACACTCCTGAAAACATTTCAGGGAAGTTTCAGGACCACAACGATGAACCTTAACGGCGAATTTGACGGAAGGCAGTGTTTGCTGGTTGTTCTCAGGCAACTGTGTGTGAAGGGGTCTTTTTTTTTTTTTTACCTCAAAGATCTCCTCGCGGCAGACCTCGATGCGGCAGTGTCCGGCCTGGGGTTGTTGCTGAGAGAGTTCCTGTCGCAGAATCTTCAGCTTCTGCACCAGATCCCTCTTGTATTTGGGCACCGTCAGGCACTCTGCCTCTTCGGGCAACTGGGCCGGGGAGAGAGCTTGCTGAGGGACCCCAGGACCACCCTGGTCCTTCAACTGAGGTGGATGACTGGAAGGATAAAGTGGAACAGATGGAGGGAGATGAAAAGGGTACAAGAGGGCAGGTGGGGGAAAAAAAAAAACAGGAGAAGAGTTTCATCACTCATGTTGACAGCAGTTTCAAAAGGTTTTGTCTTTCTTCAGGGTAAATTCAGTTTGATATATCAGAGCTGATTACTTTAGTGTGATCGTGGGCATATTGTAATGTTTCTGGACGTAGCAGACGTATACAAAGATAGATGTAAGAGGGATACGTCGAGCAGGGAATTCCCCGATCCCTCCAACTCATATATCCTCTCACCACTGAACTGGGGAGTTTTGCAAGAAATTCCCTCTTTGGCCCTCAAGCTCCTCGCTGCTCTCAAAGCAAAGACCACTAAACAGAGCCCTAAGCCCTGAGTAAATCTGATCCAGACCTGTGGACAAGCTGGGCCTTTGACCAGACATTTGGTAAATATCACCACCAGGAAAGACAGAAAGAGGGAGATAAACCCTGAGTAAGCAGAGGGACAGACACAAACACACAGAGAGGAAGAGAGAGGGGAAGAAAACTTACAAAGGAGAGTGGTGTAAGAGTAGCTGGCGCCTCTGGCAAACTAAACTGGACAGATAAGTTCATGTGTTCGCTCTGCTCCCCTCCATGTCGAAATTCACCAACTGGTTTTCAAATTCCCTCTAAATCATTACTCCAGCTGTGTGTCCGTCTCCGTTGTTACTTCCTGTCTGAAGGCTAAAGAAGCTCAAGGTTGCCTCCCGGTAGGTACCCCTGCCCACCACCAACCACAACTGGAACTTCCATCATCTGGCCTCAGCTGCTGCCACCCTTCCTCGTAATTTGAGGTGGGGATAAAAACAACATTTGTGTATACGTGTAGTCTTGTTTCTATCAACGCGACACTCAGACTGCCCTTCTCTCTGTGCCACAAATGATGTTCTGTCTGAGTTCATGATTTGTGTGGCAGCCTTGTTTTGAAGTTTTGTAGTTTTCACACAACAAGGTTTGGTGAAAGGAAGGTGTGAGAGCGGGGAAGCACGCATGTCACACAGTGGCCTGAGGAATTTAACTTACAACTTGACCTTTATCCCATTTCACCATTCAGGCCTTCTATATTAGATACAAAGAATCACATACAATCTTTTACAATCTGGGTGAAGGTGAGCCTTGTAGCTCTGACCTCCTCCAACACTCACTGTGGTGTCGGTGGTGAGATGCCTGGGTGGGCCTCGTAAAAACATAATCCATCTCTTTCTTCAGCAGGACAGCAGCCCTCATTTTCCTGTGAGGAGACGCTGAGCCAGCAGAGGACTTCTTTAAAAGAAGCTACTGTCCTCTGCTGGGAGCCGAGTGTCAAGGCTGCTGTTGGCCAAACAAAGGCAGCACACCAAGAGGCCTGAACTGGAATATACAGGAAGGAGAGGCCTTCTAAGGTAGCAGCACACAGCCACCCACTTACTCCAACACCCGTACACTTGGGTTCTCTGGTTCAGTGGGTAGAAAAGAGCTATCTATCTATTTGGGCTTTCCAAACTAAACGGGTGCACTGTTTCGCCAGTCTATCCCTGTATAATCAAGTCCGCTGCTATTTATTTTATTGGCAGGCGCTGGGGCTCCTAGCATGTCAAAGAAAGGGTACGACTGCAGCGGGGCAGTCTTGAAAACCACTTTAGGAAAGAGGAGGGGAAGAAAAGATGCCTTAAAACAAAATGGAATGAGTTGCTTTTGGCTGGGAGACTCAAGAACCATATAATAAAGCGCAATTTCAGCGCACTTTTTCTTCTGAGGGCACAGTGTAATTAAAAATACGTTTCAACATAGTTCGTCGTCTCTGGATTCCAAATATAGAAAACACAAGCACAGCAAAAGCTGAAAATCCTTCCTGAGCTGGAGAGCAACGGCTCTTTCTGCTGTGACAACTTGACTGAAATATGACGATTGGGGAGAAATAAAAACTTTCAAATTCAATCTATGAGGCACTGAATTTTATTATTGTTATTCCAAGGTACGAGGAATGGGAGGAAAAGAGGCTGCAAAAGTCGAGAATTTAAGGAGCGAGCATTTGCCAGAACTGCATGACCTGCACCTGAACCTGCAGAGTCATGATAGGCCGGTTGTGTGTGCTCGCTGAGAGAGCGAGTACGAGAGTGCAAAGCTGCACGATCGTGTTCGAGAAAGTCTATTTGCTTCTTTTACACAGCAGCTGGCACAGGTGGGGTGTAATGAGTGTTGACTAAGTGTAGTGGTGTTAAAGCCACACCAACACACCCACTCTGCCCCCCCACCCAGCCCCAGAGAATCAAAGGTCCCTTTGAGAGTCAATCTGCTGAGTATCGGCTGGTGCCGTGCTCTTTACACTTGCCTAAAATACAGGAGAGAACAGAGATCGGCCAAAAAATGCCACTGCCGTGTGTCTTGCCAGAGAAAATGTGACCTCTAACATTCCTCCCGACTGTAAAGCTCCCACATGTGCACATTTCTGCCTTCAAAAGTACATGAGTTGCAGAAAAACCAGCAGCAGACAGACTGTGGTGGTGAGACCTACTGATTAAAATATGTTGCACTTGAACACACCTTCTAAGAATAACAGATTAGCAAAATTGTTCGTGAAAAACGTCTGGTGTCATTTGAATTTCTTGTGGATTCCATTACTTACTTATAACAGGCAGAGATTATACTGTGCAGAGCATATTAGAGCAAAAAAGGCAGTTCGTGCTGACTATAAAGTGCAATATAGTGTGCTTCAAAATAAAGCAAAGTCATTTGTTAAGTTCTTTTTTGTATGTATTTAAGCTTTAATCCTGCCTGTCCTCTTCTCTTCACTCTTATACATTCTGCCTTTTAACACATCACATACAGACAAAACATTTACCCTGCTATATATACTGTTTATACAGCTGCCATTTACTGTACTAGTAAGTCACGCAACAGGTTCAAAAAGTACAGTAGAAAATGTCAGATATTGCACATATTGTAGATGCATATGAGGAATTCTTCGTGCTAACCCAACAATTGGCATTTATATTCCTCTTTTACAGGTTAAATATACCACACACATATATTGTGCCAAATATAATCATCACTTTTTGAAACGTCAATGCAACTGTTGATATAAATGTCATGAAGATTTACAACTTGGCTGGGAAAATACCTGCTGATGCCCACCGAGCCTAAATCCAGCGCCACCTAAAAATACCTTCAGCAAACACTGATGTAATTTTTTCAGACATACACAGTGTGCCGGTGCACGGGAGGAAGCTAAGTATGCGAGAGACAGTGTGGCAGACCACAGTAATGCAGCTGTGTCTGACTGTCTGACAATTCAAGGCCTTCATCAGTCGAGCTAAACGGCAACAGGGCTGTCTGAGTCACATTTAAATCAAGATGTGTGCCGGGGGATCAAACAACTGATGTGTAAACTGTTGGCTCACAATGTTGTAACGCCGGATCTGTTCCATGCATCTAATCTTGCAGACAAAACACAAGCTGTTACTACAGAGGAGGTAGAAAACGCAGAAACTAAACAACAACAAAAAAAAAAGGGTGCAGAAATGCGAAGGGCTTCGGCTGCCTGCAAGGCTCTAAAATGGGTGCACAGTTTTTGCCACTGGAGTGAAAAATCAAGAAAAAGTTTCTCCAGAGCCACATCACATATTTTTTTTAGACGGCTGTTTAAGGCCAAGCTGAGGTTAGGGACAATTAAAATGGAGCGACGGTCTGCATTTTGCTGCAGAGCAGTAAGTCATTGGTGACCTTGACCAGAGCAATCTCAGTGCTATGCAGACAGCAAAAACAAGACTGAAATTTTATTTTAAAAATAACAAGAGAGCAGTTAACAATGGCTAAAATTAACTAGCTGTCCACAATGCTGCTTTCAAAAACAAAGATGGAATGCAGCCTGAACCTGAGATGAAAGACTTTGTGCAACAGAGCGTTCCAGGGATGGCCGAGAAACAACAGAGTTTATGATTTAAAGAGGATTTGGTGATTATGACCTTGATTGTACTCCCTTGCGAACTCACACAGCAACAGATACCATGGATGGGCAGTTGTTAGGCTTAGGGTTCGTAGCATTGGAATGTATTTTGAGACGCTTCACATTTGCATAAAGTTGTGTACTCGGCTATTTGATGCAAATCAGGAGCATCAGTCGTGACTTGACATGTCTGGAAATCTCGGAAAAACTTTGAAAATAACTGCTGCTGATCTAAAATTAAGACAGATTCAGCAACTTTATGACCCCTTTCTTGCTTCACATATTTGCAGAAGTACTTCTTAGTGCACTGTTTTTGTAATGTAACAGACGTCTTCCTAACAAGCTGCAATGTTGATGTAGTTAGACATCCATTAGCAGACAGCCCACTTGTCAGTCATGTATTGTTCCTCTGGCTAGTCGTATGCTCATCGAGCGCCCAGTGCCGGTAAACGTCATGACCTTGCGTCCAAAAACGTCCCTGTGGAGACATACGATTACACTGGTTTCTAATCTGCTTGGAGTCCACTGAGATGTCTTGGTTCCAACATTCTAACATTGCAGCAGGTCGAAGTGACATATATCATGAATGTACAATACTGCCAAACATTGGCACTACTATCCTTGTAGCTTATCCCTGTGCAGACCAAAATGTGTGTCCACGTGGAGACTATGCTACAAGGGCCATAGTGCGCACACTTGGCAGTAGTGTGCATGCATACATACATCCCCACAAATTCCTGCAGACTTGAGGAGAACACAACATTTCCATCACACGGCCCCATCAAACCCTTCTTGCAACATTGGCCTTACTTGCGCACAGATAAGTGGACATCAGGACTTTAATAGAAGCGAGGGAATCATTAAATTCACCGTCTTTTTAAGTAAGTCAACATGTTTCTTTCCTGATTTAATGAAAGCAAGTCTCTCTCTCTTGTGCAGCTGCTCAATGTGTCTGAGTGATCATTTTTGTTTTCACTTTTGACAACTGGCATATTTTACTCTGATTATACTTTTGCATCTTTCTGCCAAAAAACAAAAGCACAAGAACATTAAAGAGAGAGAGATGCACTCCAAAAGTAGTGAAATTATGGACACAGAGGCAAAACTTCTCCTATATTGCGAACAAGAACGTTCTCCTTCCACTCCCCCTCTCTGCAGTATGCATACATTCCTTCCACTGAAAGAAATCAAAACAATCTCCATGCAACTCTGTACATATCTAAAGAAAAACAAAGTAGCAAAGTATTTTTGTTCAAACTCCATGCACCAGCACAAGGTACCATGCACACAGATGTTCCTGAAATCTAAACACTCTACAATCATCGCCTTCAATCTCCCTAAATGAAGACGAGTGAATGCACTGCTGCATTATATCAGGGTCTGTGCAACCCTGCTGAAAAGAGAAAGTGAATGTGTGTGTGTGTCGTGTACCTGTGCAGTTGTGGGGTGAAATATTCTTAAATCCTGGTGGTAATGAAAGACACAGCTCCTGACACTGAGCCAGCAGAGAAGCTGATAACTTTAACAGTTTTTGGAGCACAGCAGAGGACAGTGGAAATGACCGCAGGGTGGAGGCTGCACTGGTTTGTATCCCAGAGGCCTTAGCAGACCTGAGGATAACAACGCTGACACTTCCAAGAAATTATCAAAAGTTCGGATTTCTCCACATGATGTATGTACATGTGCAATAGGTGTAAACGGATTGTTGTGTCATCCATGTGTCTGCCTCTGTAGCCTCTGTACTTCTGTTTTTAACATACAGCACATGCTGTGAGTCGGGCCTCTCACTCAGTAAACAATCCAGCATTATGTCTGTGTTGTTAAAACCATTTAGGCATGACCAAAAAAATGTAGCATTTCAGAGCCAAAGCCGAGAAGTGGCTAAAACTGAAGAAATTCTACACTGTGCCCTTCCACTCAGAGAAAAAATGTAAACAAATTACTGTCACAAAACACTGTTTTTGCAATGAACTGAAGTTACTTTTCTTGCCACTGTGACTTATTTTCACTGTTACACTGAGTTAGTATTTAGGCAGAAGCAGCGGTGCCAGTTTTTGCTTATGGCTGTTTAAAAACAAGGACACCGGTCAAACTTAAGTCAGCAGATACTATTTGACTTGGAAATACTTCACGTTCACAGCTGGGCTGTTGTATACTTTAAACCTCAGAAAATAACAGAATTAAAAAAGTCGTTTCTTGAGCTCATTTATGTGACATACCAATAGACCATCACATAAGTCTGAAATCCCTCATAAATGGGATCTGCTTGAAGTTCAACATTGCGCTTTAAATTTAGCAACATTTGCTGTGATCATATTTACCAAAAAAAAAAGGCCAAATAAGGTGAATTTAATGTACATGAGGTTAATATACAGACATCCCGTGATAACTATTCTCACCTTATGCTGTTACGTAAACTGTAAATAGAAGATGCTTTCATTTTATCTTCATTAACATGCGTGCATGACAAAAAGCTGCATTACAAACTAGAGCTTTTTAACTTCGACCTTATCAAAGTTCTAAAAACTTCATCTGGACTCCGTCAAATGTCTCCTAATAAGGAGTCAGACAAGCAGTTAATGATGGTGACTGTAGCTGAGCTTCAACTCACAACCAGAGGCTGTTCTGACACATATGGATACTATTTGACCAAATGACCAGATGTTGATTTCCCAAACATGTCTGTCGTGCCAGCCGCTGTTATTGCAGGAGGTTTCGACTAAGATTTTGTACCAAAAGAGCAAAGACGGAAAAATCTCCAGACCTCTCAGTGTTCCTCTTGTTCTAATAACTCCTGCCTCACACACTAGCAGGGGAAACATACATGGACCTCCCTGATGGCCAGAATACTTCCTAAAATCTGGTTTATGATGCTCCTTTACCTCAAAGGTTCCGCCAGCATAAATATCACTGACAATTTTACTAGTTGTAATTTTCGCTGAAATTATTCACATATCCGGCCCATGCCTGAGAATAAGAGAACTTGTGGTGAGCGAGCAGCTGCTGTGCTGTTGAGCATTTCCCAACGTGGGGTCGGCTTCACCGGGGTCAGCTGCCTATGAGCTGGTCTTCAGGCCGGTTGCCGAAACGCAGCGCTAACATACTGAACGATGGACTGACAATATGTGGTAGAGACATCCTGCCAGGAGGGTGTGTGTTGAACTTGAATGACATCCACATAAAAGTTAACCGTTAAAAAAAAACATAAAGTGCATATATTTACAGTGACACACGCAGACATTCCCCTTTGGAAAAGTATGACAGGCAACAGTTTCTCTCATGACATTGTACGTGTGTATGTCTGTGTTTATGTTGTGTAGCTAGGTGCTGAAACTGCTTTATACAGACTGCTGGAGTAAGTATGAAAACATCCATCAATCTCTGATTACATTGCTCATATGCAGACCATGTGCAAGCATGCACAGGCATACAGTTTACTATCTGCACGCAATTATGTGAGCGCACACATATCTTTGTCTGTGTGTGTGTGTGTGTGTGTGTGTACGTGGGTTACCTGAGGTTAGTGTTTTGGCTTTCCATGGCCACACGGGAACCATTTGGACTTGGGCTGCTGGAGAAAACAGGAGGAGAGAGAGAGAGAGAGGAGGGGAGAAGACAGAAGGGGACAGCGACAGAAAGGGGCATAAGAGAAGGTGAATGACAGAGAAGACAACAGGGGATGGGATTAAAAAGGAACAGAGAAAGAGGACAGATAGGACAAAAAGTGATACAGAGGAGTAAAAGGACACAGGAACAGAATAAAGGGAGATGAAACAAGAAAATTAAAAAAGAAAAAACAACAGTAGAGGAAGTAAGCAGCAATAAGGATGACACAAAGAGAAAGATGAACAAGACGTCAGAAACACGAGACAAACAGGGGACAGGGGAAGTGATACAGAGGAAGAAAACAAAAATATAAGGTGAGACTAATGAAGGCAAGGGAGACATCAGTAGTCATCTTGCAGCAAACATAGTCATAGCTGGTGGATTTTTGACTGTGGGTTGTATCAGAGACTCCAAAACAGACATCCTCTTTCCTCTAGCTTAGGAGTCAAGTCTAATTCCAGGACAAAGTGTCAAACCACTTTTAAAACATTTAGTTAAGTCTTTTGCTGCAAATACAAAGAGGACAGAAGACGATTCTGAATCCAAACCAAACTCAGCTGTATAATAATCAATATATGGCCAGCAGTCACTGGAGATAATAAAGATTTTTCACATGGATTTACTACGTCTTAACCCAGTCTGTAAATCATGGACTATTGTAATTGGAGAGTAGAACAGCTGTAAATATTGGAATTGTACCATAAAAGCCCCAAAAAGCTGTGTGTCTTTGCTAACACATGCCTAAACTCTGGCCATCTTTCAAAAGTTCTGTCCTGGGGGCCTTGAAATCTGACTGATATACTCACTTGAGCACTAGATGCAGGTTAGCAGACAGTCGTGGGTCTGTGAACTGTGTTGTTCGATTGTTGTGGTCCACAAAGTAGACACGGCCGGTGGCAGTGTTCCTGATCTCCCAGCCGGGTGGCAGCGGGCCCAGCTCCTCACAGTTTACATTGCTTAAATCCCTGAACAATAAAGATTAGAAACCGTTAGCAACAGTGATGGAACAAATCAAATTAGGTTCTAAATGAATCTGTAAATACATTAATAATGCATTTAAAACAGCTCTAATGTATAATTGGGCTCCACTGATTGAGAAAATGGCTCATTTATTACTTAATATTTACCTAATTACTTAATAAAGGATAATTTAGACCAGAGTCTTCAGCAGACCCAGAAGTATTAGTAACATTAACACTGCGATTAAACCTTTTGACAAAGTCGTTGCTCTTATTTCTTGATTCTTTTTCTGTCCTGCACGCTGACATTCCTATTCTAAGTTCTGATCTGGGACAACACTGTAGCCCGAGGAGGTCTTTTTATTTTCCTCGTGTGAAGTGAGGACACATCACCAAGGGATGAAGCACATGCCTTGTTGTGCTCATCACACATACTGGGTCGCTTTAGCAGCTCCGTCCAAAATGACCAAACCCAGGAGTTGCTGCTGTGACTTGGACTGCTGCACTCATGCGCTTCAACACTGTGCAGAAGCTACACGAAGGCACGGCCAAAAGTGTAACGCAATAGTGCTGCCTGTAATCTTTGGTGGATTAAGTACAGAACTATTGAGAGTTGGTGAAACAGGATGATTGAATGCAGAACCACTGGCTTCTGGTGTGTTCAGCTCGGGATCTATCCAAAAATGTTGTTCCAGCTCCACATCATACCCAGGGGTCATAAGTCTGGCTGACCCTGACTTGAGCCTGAAATTTGATTAATAAAACTGTTTTTGAACACAAAAACGGAAATGAAGTGAGAAATTAGGTCTGATTCAATCCAGTGAAATCCAGTTTGGTCTTGTCAGTTTTGCAAATGTATGTCAGGTTTTACATGTGGAGCAAAACAACACAGGCAGTCGTCACTCTGCTGTGTTTATCATGCGTTTAATTCAATGTGTTGGTAATTCGAGGACAATAAAATACAAATCTGCACAGTGAAGATGAAATTCATGAACACAAACGAGTTACCTGGGCACTCGGGGGTCATGCCAGGTGCTGACTCCAGTCTGTGTATGCAGGAAGTAGACCTGGCCCTGCTGGGTTGTTCTTTGTTCTGAAACAGAGAGAAATTTGACGTGAATTAGTGTCAAAAAGGCAAAAAACAGCAGTGAAGCAAGCTTGGAACTGTTGCTGGGAGCGTTGTTTTGTAGTCTAGTCCAGATGGGTACAAGCATGGATAGCGAGTTTGTGTATTTTGGAGAAGGGGAAGTCTGTTTATAATTTATGTGACAGGCAAACTGCTGGGACACTGTTGACCTAAGAGTTTCTTAAGCTGTGTGCCAATGTAATCAATTAGTTCCTCTCCAGTCTCCAGTAGGCCTCTCCCAAGAGGATGGGGAAAATAAAATGTGAGGGAAATTTATCAAGGACTTCCATGAGTGGTTTTTCCTTGCAAAGAGTTCCTTGGTGCATCCTAGCGGCCTCGTTTTTACTTTAAAGGTTAGTGTGTGTTCTGAGAGTAACCCGCTGCTATTAATCAAAAACAAAGGAAATGGAAAGTAAAAATGCCGTCACTTATGCCAAACCTTGTAATAAATACATTGTAAACAAATGGGGGAACCGAGGACACAGAGGAGAAATTTGAGGGGAATGACACTCATTTGTAATCTGTCATTAGCTTGTTGGATGTCTGGCTCCATTGAGCTTATTGATGAATGGAGAGCGACTGTGTGAACGTTGGCACAAAGTGTGTGTGTGCTGCAGCATTCATGTGTGCATATTCACCAGCTAATCCATCACTACCCCCTCCCCACCCCAACTTCCTACTGGCATAACCCATTTCCGACCCTCGCTCTCTTTTTTTTTCCCCCCTCACACATTCCCTCTCTGCCTCTCATTCTCTCTCACACTCTCTCACCACACCCAGCCACTGGTTCAGAGGGTTCAGCTGAGGAAGAAAGCTCTTGAGCTGTTGGGCATCAGTGACTCACTTTGTCCGACCTCAGCCAGCCTCGGTGGACACAGCAGGACCTTTCAAAAGGAGGCACAGGTCCAACAGTGCCATTCTGAATCGCTGGCATACAGCACCACACTTAAAATAATAATTTATTTTACAGACTCTGTGGGTATTGTGGGGTGCACTGTGGCTGACTCTAAGAAGTACACTGTTTTCGAAAGAAAAAAAAAAAAATGTTCCAATGTCGGAAAACATACTTGTGGAGCTTCTCCATTATTTTCCTCGATGTTTGCGAGCTGCGAGTAAAGCCAGCTTTAGAATTACAGACGTCGAAAAATAGCAAATAACCTATGGTGCCTTCTCACTGAGCTATGAAAAGCATTCCCTCCTTCTCTTTGTTGTGGGAATATTAGTCCGCAAAGCCAAAACATTCCAACACTGGACGTGCTGAGAGGAGCGGAGAGGAAACGAGATGAGAGGCAGAATATTAACACACACCGAGTGATGACTGCAGTTGTCATGATGTGGTGCTGTGGGAAGGGGGGAGGGTGTCGTAGAGAAAGTGTGAATGAGCCAAAGGACAGGAAGAGAGAACAAAAAGAGAGGACACAAAGACATCTGAACGCTATTCTCACCTTCGAAAAGAATCATTTTATCCCAGCTACAAACAGGATTAAACCCAAGGAGCGACGCAACATGTTTTTCATCTCGTATTTTATGAGGTTAAGCCGGAGACTATACAATGCAATAAGACTTCGGCTGACTGTTAGCCAGACAACACACTCCCAAAATGTTCCAAAAACACAGCTCCCAGGTCAGCTATTATGGGATCTGATAACCCTCGTTATGAAGCATAATCACACCGACAATGTAATGTGATGTCCGAGACACTGCTTTTTAACCAGGATTTCCTCAGTGTGGTTTTTTTCCAGTGTCTGTACCATTTCAGAGTTTTGGTAACCAAGAAAGACCGATAATTGATATCTGGAAATGTTATACATTAAATGAAATAGGAGTGATGGTGTCAGAAGGTCACGTGACATTTAAGGACGTTCATTGATTGAGATTTAACAGTTTATGTTCTGCAGTTACATCTGCCATTTCCTCTGGTTTGTTCATCTTTCATTATTCTATCACTACGGTTGCCCAGTAAGCCCATATCTTAAAGCATTGCTTGTTACTGTTTTGGTGTAATCGGTGGCTGTTTCCTAACTTAGCCACTAGCTGCTAGCATAGCTTTAGCCACTGTGAAAGAATCCAATTTCCTGATCTGTGGCGATGGCTGTACTTCTTGTTTAGTTTTTGCAGGTTGAGTCTCTGTTTCCGTCAGCTCAAACAGATTACTAAAGTAAAGTTTATTTTATAAAGATGTTATGGTACTCTAGATAGCACTAGCTGCAGGTTAAGAGGCACAGCAAACCTCTTAGTGATAGCTGTAGCTTAACACCGTCTGCAAAATATGTTCTGCTTGTACTGACACCAAGAAGTACGTTATTCAAGCATTTTCAGTGTAATGGTGAAACTGGGCATGTTTGTGTAAGATTATGGTGTTTATTACAACTTCAGCAGTATCTTTTACTTTACTTTTACAACCTTTGAGACAGCTCCGCTAATTCATCAGAGCTGGTCGTCTCTGCAAATATGCTCCTCTGTCCCCGTCTGTAAACACCAGCTTTCAGACATTGGGCGGGACATTGCTTTAGGGACATTGCTTTAGACCACAGAGTGACTAAAGAGAGAGAAAGGCAGCTGCATAAGAGCCAAAGTAGTGCAATTACTTCATTTTATGGGTAATTGATATTACTGGGAAAAAAGTCAAATATCAGGTCTAATCAGCCAGGACGATAATTGTTCAACTGCTTATCCTCAGTGCTCATAAACTGGAAAGTAGATGCAAAACCGTAATAGAGTAAATGACTCTGTGACGTCACTCCAGTTAAGACAGTGTGTGTGTGTGTGTGTGTGTGTGTGTGTGTGTGTGTGTCTGTGTTTGTCTGTGTTTGTCTGTGTTTGTCTGTCATTGGTCCGTGTCTCACCATATCCCTCAGGCAGGTCAGGCGGCGTATGCAGGTGTGTTCGACTCATGTAGTTACGATGCCTCTGCGATCGAACCCGTCTCTCCTGGATCCGGTGTTCGCCCAGAGGGCCGCTGGCTTCGGCACCGTTAACGGGCGTCATCACTGGTGTGTTCTCGTCCACCACGCAGCTCAGCGGACGCCCTGATGGGCTGGAGTACTCTGATGCTGGTCTGAAGGAGAGCAGAGAGCGTCTGTGTTCAAGTGCATGTTGGTTGCGGCCTGCCCAGTGTAATTTTAAGCTTCATTCTATTTTTTTTAAATATATTTTCTACATATACTACACGGATAAAACATTTGACAACAGATCAATTTGTATCTGAACAAATATTTGTCTCTTTCTCACTGTAGACTGGTTGAATAAACTGACAAGAACAACAACAAAGTGTTTGTTTTCATTCCTAATAATTACCTGTGTAGTTCTCAGGAATGAGTGTTAAATGAGGTAGTGATAAGTGGGTGGCTTTCAGTTTCGGTGAATGTTTGCAATTGTGCGCAATGTTTACCTCTGCTAGCAGGAAACTGGTGGTGAAGTGTGCAAAGAAGAATCGCACTGTGTTTTAGGTGCTTTTTGGATTAAGTCTTAGGTGTCGCAAGTTAATCTCTTTTTATGATGTCTAGACACACTTAAAAGAGTTGTGTAATTATTACAAGACAGCTTGTGTTAGAAGCCCTTCAAGAAAATAAATGTATTTTATGATAATGGTGACGCCAAAGTGATATCAAGGATTATAGGTTGTGTAAAAAAGAACAGAAATCCCTCATTAGACTATAGCTAGTGTGTTGTTATTGTACTTACAGACGGGTACCTGATAAGCAGACACAAACACAGACAGGCTGCCTTACTGACACTTATTGTATGTGTGCGTAGCTTGTCTGACCACTGTCTGGCTGTCCAGAGTTACTGACGCCTCGGCTATCTAAAGCCTTGGACCCTCAACCCACAACCCCTCCACACACTCCCCCTCCCTCTCATTTCCTCTTTCTCCATGCTTATTTTTTTCCCCCACCTTTGGCTCCACTTTCCCTTGTCCTGTCTTCTTGTTCTACCACTCTTCCCAGTCTCCTTCCCCTTCTGCGCCTCTTGCATTATGCGTCTTCTCACAACAAGCTCATGGAACAGATTACGCTCCATTCCTTCCTCCTACACAGGCCCTACCAGCTCATCTTCCTCCACAACTTCCTCATTTCCACCTCCCTCAATGCCGTACCACTTGACCTTTTCCCTCAGCATTTCCTGTCTGTCCAACCTCGTTCCGCTATGCTGCCCAGGGGCAGCTAGAGATTTGTAGTAAGAGTAGGTGAGGCGGTGGAGGGGGTTGTTTGCTTATTTCACTAATGGCTCCACTGATATGGGCCAAGTAGGAAGGCGACAGTTGTTCTTGCAGCAACAGGGGCCAAGTGAGGCCTGGCTGCCCGACTGGCTGGCTAGTTTATTTCGCTGTGTGTGTGTGTGTGTGTGTGTGTGTGCGTATCGGGGTGGGACGGGGAACTAAGGAAACTGACAGCAATTCACTCATTACCAAGAGACTGTTATTGTTGTGTTGTGAGTGAAGTTTTTTCTCTGAAAAAGGGAAGTGGGAAGAATTACAACTACTTACACAGATCGCCCACCTGCTTTTTTGTCAAGTTTGTCCAACATTACATCAGTATGACTGATGTACATAGTTAGAATAATAACCTTCTGAACCCCAAGCAGTTTCTGGGCGTTTTTAAGCTCCTGTCATATTTTTACTTATTGTGGGCTCATTTTTCACTGTTATATAAAGTCCTGCACCTCCATGGAAACAGCACAATCATGGCCAGAAGCAGAGAAGACTCAAAAATGTCTTCTGCGCACTATGACACAGTTATGTTGCAATAAATTACAAAAAATAATAATAATAATTCTTTGTTTATTTTATAGAAATTGAAAAAACTTGTGTACAAAATTATCCAAGTGCCTACATTTGTAAGTAGTACTACAAAAAAAGATGATGATTCTGTATAGTACATATATTTACATTTTTAATTTGTTCCTATCCTTGTCTCCTATCTGCTCTGTGAAAACAGAGCCTGTTCTGATAAAAAAGCTCCTGAACCTTTGTGATGTTGCTGGTTGCAGCTGAATCAGTAATTTATTTTTTATTTTTTGCATACTGTGGTCACTGCAAATGAAACATTCGGTTTTACGCTTAGATTTGGTTGTTTTTCCTGATGAAATCAAAAGTCTTGCATGATTACTTCAAGCACTGTTGGAAAGTTGAAAATCCGCTGATGTTTTTTTACAGTTTCTTGCGCTGATGAATAATGTAATATTGGTAACACTGCTTTTAAAGCCGTAGGCAGGTTCGGCAGATCACAGTGTTAAGGGTGCTCTCATTTTTCCATCACTATTTTTTGGTAATGTTGTGTATGAAGTTGAAGATGTGCACAGATGTACCTGGTGGGTCTCTCCCATTGCGTGGTGCGCGTGATGTGGTTCAGGTACTGTATCCTTCCAGATGCTGTCCTCCTTTCTTCCCACCTGTTTCATGCAGATATTAAGATAAAATGGCAAGAAAAATGCATCAAATATTGTATTCTGTACTTACAAGCCACACTTAGTCAGTGCACTTATGTTTAAAGATGTACCTCATTTCTTTAAGTACATAAAAAGTCACAGAGAAGCTACTAACCCCATGCCCCAAAACACAACTCCACATACAATACAAATTACTAGTTGCGCCTTCACTGATATAATTTGTGAGTTCCATCAAAATAACTCAAGGAAAATGACAGATTTCCAGTGAACTAATGGCTAATAAAAACCTGTCATAATACTGACCCGTCAGGTAAATCATTGTCAAAGAGGCGACTGCAGTCCACCACTGGTCCTCCGGTCCCGATGCGATCTCTGGACTGAAGACTTACTACAGTTAAGAAAGACAAGGAAGATGGTAAGTCAGTGACATTTTACCAATACATCACTTTACTTGTCACTTAGATAACTAAAACCTTGTGTAGTATCTCTAGTAATCTCTAATGTTTAATCCTTTATATTTCAACTTTTGTTTATATTCTTAATTTACAGTTCAAGACAAACGCTGTGTGTCTGAGCATAAAAAAACAGAGCTGATGATCTGACTTGTTCGTAACACAGTTCAAAGAGGTGTAGGCGGCAATGGCCAGTGGTTATCCTTTCATGCCATAAGTAAAATACTGCCACTTTATGGAAATACATAAGGATACACACATATTCATAGTGTGACTTGTTTTTACTGTCCAGACATACAGTAGAATGAAAATCGCGTTTCTTACCTACTATCTGTCCTCTCACAGTATCGTTGTCATTGGGTCCCAGTTTATTCAGATCCAGTCTCTGATCTGTAAACAAAACCCATAACCACTGATTGAGCCTCTGTTACTGTTTAAAAATGTACACTGACTTAACAAACAAAAGCGATCAGAAAGAGACAGTGTTGGTAGTGGTGGTGCTTCAGGTAAAGGTGAGAAGATCAAACAATATGCAGCAAGGGCACCTAGAGTGACTGATTGGTGCATCTGAAGGTTTATTAAATAATGCTGCAATCCCGGAAAGCTAGCGGAACAATGACCTCCTCTTCTGTTGAGACGATCAGCAGCTAAACAGTAGAATTATCCTGTTCACGTAATGAGGCATTTACCGCTAATGTGGACTTGCAAAAATGTGGCAAACGTTGAGCCAGGTTTAACATTTTGTCATGTTGTGTCCTAAATACTGTACGATAACTAAAAGGAACCTTCTGCACAAGTCAAACAGGAGGACATAGTGAGCCAGTCAGCACCACATTAACGTCCTCTGTGTTTTCACAAAAATCCTGAACATAAATATTGTTAATTTTAAAAGTTTAACTACCAAAAAAAAAGGGTGCCTCCTACTTTATTGCAAAGCCAATTCTCTGTGTACGTACACAGAAGTCTTCAAGTGTCCATGTCACACTTGTTTACATATTGGACATCCACAGTCTCCAAACTAGTTGTGATGTCAAAAACCTTTCTTGTGCACTCATGTTTTAAACACTAAGAGACTTTGCCTTATCTGACAATGAATCTGAACACCGCTTTTCAGTGTTTAACTCTGCACAGCAAGACATCCAAGTGAAGAAAATGACATTTAAACCTGGAGACATCAAGTGTGATTAAATTTGGACAGAAAATTTGTTACCAGCGTCGTTGGTTTTGGGAAAGTAAAAACTCACTGTCTGCTCAGCAAACAGCAGCACTGCCAGACACAAGCAGCACAGAAACATAATCCAAGACTCTGAACAAGATCCAGACAGAGATAGACTCCGCAAACTCTCTCTCACACACACACACTAAATCCCCACACTGAGACTTGTGCATGTCTAGTACAACTGACCGGCACAGAAGCGATATCGATTCATTTCCATTACTAATACAAAGTGTGTGTGACTGCAGAGTGAGAGACATAATCAGTTATGAGACAGAGTGTGAGTGCAGAATAGGGTGAAAAGGGGGAGAAAGGGAAATATGCAGCAGAGGGAGAGTGAGTGAAAAAGATACCTCAGCCTTCCACACATCAACACTCAAACCGAAGCCTGACTGAATTTGTCATGTCTTTCGGTTCGCCTGTACGATTGTGTACGCACGTGAAATAGTGTGTTTATGTATATGCAAAGACTGAACAATCCTATAGCTTGTTTCAGTAAGTGTGTTCGTGTTTGTGTGTGTGCACAAGTGCATCTGTTCCGGATACGTGTCTAGACTAAACAGGGATGGTCTAAGCCTTACATGGCCAGAATAGTAAGCAGATTTTTCTCTTAAATAAGAGAGGAGGGAAACGAAGAGACAGAACACTTACAGACCTTTAACCACATGCCCTCACCGCACCATTCAATTCCTCAGAGCTATTAAAAAAAAAAAAAAAAGTGTGCTGCAACAGACTAAACTGCATGAATGTGTGCACGCAAGACGGCATGTTGTAAGCGTGTTTAAAGGTCGTTCACGCACACCTGTTTCCGTATGTTTGTACATCTTTGCATGCATACGTACAAGCTGTAGTATCGACAGCACCGCAATCAGTAAATATAGTTAGTCATTACATCAACACTGCAACCCCTAAACTCAAAGAAACAGCAGGGTTCAAAGTGAGGCAGACTAACATGTGTAGTAAGTCAAGTCATTTTGAAAAGCTGGTGGTGTGTGTTCGTGAGTTTGCGGGTACAGAAGTGAGGCAGATGACTTAGAGGTTTGTGTCTGTGATGCTACGGCAGGAAATGGAGCTCAGCGCAGAGCCAGACAGACTTCTAGTAAACCAGACAACCGTGCTGATCCCCTTTTGCAAAACTGTGCAAGAGTGTATGTGTGTGTGTGTGTGTGTAGAGAGAAGGAGAAACTGTTTTGTGTGAGTGTACAGTGGACAAAGTGTGCTATGTGTATGAATATGACTTCTAGGAATCAAGGCAATTCCAGTAAAGCACTTTTTTGTGTATTTGGGTTGTTTTTATGTTTGTGCCTGTGTGTGTGTGTGTGTGTGCGCTCGGTTAGACCGCAAACTGGACAAAGAAATAATGTGAGGACTGGTGTCTTGTCATAGATCATGTCTCTCTGTCCACTTCCCGTCGTGGCTGCGATAAAGTATAATTTCTACCATGCTGGCTGTACAGTAAGTGGCTGGTCTGGAGTCTAACTGGAGCCTATACTGTCTGTTTCTGGAGGCTGTGGATAAATCTAAGGGCAAGTCCCCTGTCACTCAGTGAGGTAAAAGTATGGCAGCAGGCTTCCATGGTCATCAGGGTCCCTTCTGTGGCAACAATGACGCTGTTGTGGTTTATGGTGGATTAGGAGGTGAACTTTATGAGGCAAAGATGCCATTTAGGAGCAAATATAAAATGTGCTGGAAAACTATTCCGAACGCGTATGTGAAGTATTCAGCTTGACAGCTTGAAGCTGGCCTAAGCGGCTGTTACATCTGGGCCAACCAAATTACAACAGACTGCATTCATGGATCTAACAATGCAGTTAGATTGCTTTTTAAAAACATCTCCAAAAAAATGACAATTATTCTCATAGAGACAACTCCTCAAGTGTGTTGACGGGCATGACTGTGTAGAATGAATTAATGGAAATAAGAAAAAGGCAGGATACATAAAAAAGGGGAAAAATGTCTGGTACATGTCTGACAGTCTGTGTTTAAGATAGGTCAGGGAGATGGATTGAAGGAAAAGAGGAGAATGAGTGGAAGGAATGTTAATTTGACAGTATGGACTTCAGTTAAGTGTATATGTGTCAGCATCTACTGACTGGTACTGCCAGAAAGGCAAGCAGCGCTAACAAGCATGTTGGAAATGAAAGGGGACAACAGTCTAAAACCATGTAGATGGGAAAGTATTCATTTGAGAAAGTGTGCATCTGAGCAAAAATACAATATAGGCGTCTGTCACGTTTCAACTGCTTGAGATCACTTTCTGGACAACCGAGAATTTTCACATTTTAAACAGCATCTTTAAAATGAATTGTGAGCGTTAATTTATTCCCAGATGCCAGAAGTGAACAGCAGGCAATATTTCTCATATGTGTCGCCTAAAGGAGCTGCCCGTCTATTGTAGACATAAATCTTATGGCAAAGAATGGGCGACAAAGAAGTAGCTGCAGGTTGCGAGCTGGAACACAGCTCAGGGTCGCTAGCTAGCAAACTGCAGCAACCACATAAAACGAAACAGAAACAGAAAAGACAGTCACCCCACGTCATGGATGTGATGTTTGTCTCTCTTGTTGGAGACGCTTTGTCTGGTCCACACATTTGTGTACGTGTGGGGAGCTGAGGGCAGGATGTGTGAAGACAGGTTAACATGGCTCACTCTCTCTTGCTCACATTTATTCAATCTGTATTTTCCATGAAGCCTCCTCATCACCCTTCACTGTAAAGTCGGACTGGCACTTCAGGGTAAAGGACACTGTACGCTGACACAAAGAGCACGAAGAGACCAGACACCCACTGACCTGTTTTCAGTGAATGCTCAGAGACAAATACGCACAAAAACAGGTACTTACAGCCTGTGTCTTTGAGTCTGTTGATGGCGTTGGACAGGAGGCGGACACAGCCGAGGAACCCTGCGCCCTGCTTTTTGTGGATCTTCTTGTGGTTCCATACGCTGATAGTAATGGAATCTGACTTCCCAATGTATCTGAAACGGGAAGAGGGAGAGAGAGAGTTAAAGAAAACAGATCAAAGGACAGAAAGAGTAGTTTTTAATCCTTTACAACAACTTTCTTTCTAAAACACAAGTTAGAAAGGGCTCCACAAGGCAGCAAATTAAGTCATCAGATTGTAAAAGGCACAATGTGGTGTTGGGGAAAAATACACATATACATCCATCCATCCATTATCTATACACCGCTTAGTCCTCACTAGGGTCACGGGGGGCTGGAGCCTATCCCAGCTGACTTAGGGTGAAGGCTACTATATGCATATACTAAAGAATTAAAAGTGAGTATGTATTTGCTTGTGTGCACATCTGAGGGGGTTCAAACAGGGTAGTTTTCTTCTACTGCTAGAATATGTAACTTAGAAATTAAATTAATTAAACTCTCCAAACCGACAAAAACTTGGATTTTGTATCTCTCACAAGCACGTCTCTCAGTCAGCAACAGACCAACACACGATGCATCTGTCTAATGAGGCTCATTAGCCGATTTTTTAAGTAATTTGTGCGTGAGTGCAGATTTTGCGTCGCTGAGCTCAGTCTAGTCGTGGTTGGAGAACAGAGGAAGTCCCTGTGATGAGCTCCACCACCAGTCTGAGGCCCAGACAGCTCTTACAGTAAACACACATTTCACACAGCATTCAAATGCACAATCATACATTCACTCACACACACACACACACACACACACACACACACACACACACGTAATTACAGTCTAGCAGCCAGCTCTGATGCCAAGCTCTATATTAAGCTGTATATCAATGGCACGGAGAGGGATTTTCCTACTGAACACATCAAAACGTATAGGTTTGGAATGTAACCCAAATAACAGAAGTGGGCAAATTGATGGACTGAAATTAAATTACTACTTGAGTGACTCATGGATCTTTTTATGTGCCCAGGGACTAGTTACTGTATGGAAATTTGATGAGGACACAGTAGCATCTCGGGACACGTTTTCTCTCTCTTTTCTCTCGTTCTTTCAAGCATGTGCTGTATTGTGTATGCAGAATCTGATCTGATCTTGTCATTTAACACTATCTGATGACAAATGGATGACAGGACACACAGATGCTTGCCATGAAACCTCTCACCAGGAAAGGTGAGTTAATTATAGAGCTTATTTGCCAAGGAGTTGATATCCACGGACTAAAAACCACTGGAGGTAAACTGCGCCGAGCTCCCCGTCTTGTAAAAGGCTTCTGTCACATCTAACGCTTTGACAGGGGGATTTATCAAGAATTATTCGCAAGTTATGACAACTCTGTTCAGACAAAAGGCTGAACAGCTGAATTGTTTTGACAATGATTAGCACTTTTCATCAAACCCGAGCTGTTTGATGAGACCAAATTTGAGTTCATCCTTGATTGAAATGTCATTTCAATCTTTGAACAACAGATGTTCCAAACATTGTACCGCTTCAGTTTGGTTTCTTGCATTTTGTGTACTGTACGACCTCTCTGTGGACATTGTCTACGTTTTTTCTCAACGCATTGTGGTTGAGATTACCAGGTCAGTGTGATGCAAAGGTACGCTGCACGAAGAACTGTCTCCAAACAAAAGAGCAAACAAGAACTGAAATAGCTGACAAGACAATGAACAAGCGCCTGAGGTTAACAGTTCAGGTAGAACAAAACGTTATTTCCTCCCTCACAAGAACCGAGCCAAAAACCACTTTAAGAATGTACTCTGACATAACACTGAAAGGACTTCGGAACTACTACAACACTACTATCAGCAACAAATTCAAATGTATGTGGGTGGATTGAACTGATGTAAGGAGAGTAAACCATGATTAATGACTGGATTGCAATCTATCTGCGTCACTTATTGGCTGTATTGCTTCACGGAAAAGTGCCTCTTTATATCTCTATACTGACATCTTGCACTTAACTCTCTCAAAACAAACCCATCTCGAGGACTGGATAGACCTAAACTGATTGGAGTCATTCACTTTCTGGTTATACTGTAGGTGGGTAAATGTGGCGTACAGACCAGGCTTGTGGTGAGTAGACTGTAATGAAGAGAGTTGACTTGGCAATTACTGCCAATGCATTTTTAATGTGGATGTCAACGTGAGAGAGTGAAGACAGAATGGAGCAGTGCCAGTGCCATTGATACGCTCTGCACTTTATTACTGGGGGACTGATCAAACCTCGCTCAGACAGGCTCTCACATGAAGCGACATGGTATGCACAGCACAACATGTACAGAATTTAATACCTTTAGAGTGAGGGCAGAGGGAACCGCGAGCAAATCTGATATTCCAACCAAAGCAATGTGAAGAGTTGTACTGAAAAGGCTGGAAATTGGAGGCCAAGCAGGAGACGGCAACCTGCCAAAACCAAACCTACATACTACTACGAGTTCATGAACTTTCAGCACCGTTCCTAAAAAATATGGTTCGTATCCTCAAGCATGTGCTGCACAGGATACCAACATCAATTATAGCGCATCTATTGTGGTATGAAAACATTTTTTGAAAAACTATTTCTGCAGGGTATTTACGACGCATAACGTTAGGCATCGATACCCTTGTCAGTATCAGTGTCACGTTGGAGAAAAAAAAAGACCCCACCTCCAAAGCTGGAGGCTGCAGATGGGGGTGTGGTGAGCTGGCAATCTGCCAAACCCACACTCCCATCTGCTTTCTGTGGCATGTTAGCCATTTCCTGAACCAGAGGAAGAGGCCAGGGGTCGCTGGTGAGGAACACGCTCCTCCGAGAGGGTGGGGATCCAGAAGGAGGGGGTCGGGGGGGGAAGGAAAATTATGTAAATCGGGAGGGGATCTGAGGTTAATGTTGACAGGGCAAAGGAAGAATTTGAAAATGAAAGTGCGCATCAGAAGTTAGAGGAAAATGACAAGAATGTATAGTTATATGCACATGGCCGCCTTAAAAATAAACTCTTCCTCCACAACTGGGACTCACTATAATTAGTGCTGCAACTAACGATAACTCATTCATTGTATAAAACGTCATAAAATTGTGAAAAAGTGAGATTTTAAAACATCTGTTTTGCATCATCGACAGCCCAGACATATCTAATATAACAACTTACAAGATATGAAATAATCCATCTGTTCTATCTACATGTTTAAACCTTACCTTTACTTTATAATTAACAGCTATAGAATAACAGCACGCCAAGATACCAGTATTCTTACAGCTGATCATTCTCTTTTTTCTGAAATTTTCAAGCGCATCCATTTCCTCTCTTGTTCCCTTCATCCTTACTCTCTATTGTATTTCCAACTTATTCTATCAAGCTTGTTATTCCCTCATGTTTTCTTCTTTTACCACTGTTTCCCTTCATCTCTCATCACAACATAAGCTCAGTGTGCCAGTGGGTCCTTTGGGTCCGTCGGGGTGATCACTCCTTGTAATGGCCTGTCGGCACAAACCTCAGCACCGAGAACATTCAGAGCACATGGCCCCAGTGAAAACGCTCCTCCTGAGACCGACTCAAATACAAAGTTTGGTACAATCACATGTGCACTGAAATAGTCCTCCTGCTCTAGTGTTTCTAAAGCCCAAAGCTTCCGATCTCAATGACAACATAATGGACTGCATGTTGTTGTAACTTTAGTCTGCAAGGCTAGCAAATATGAGGAGCTTTAAAAAAAAAAAACGGAGAGCTGCCTTGATCGAAAAGAGCAGGTTTCAAGAATTAAGTTGCAAAGATTCGCAAAAGTTGATATGTGGCTAATCCTGAAAGAGAGATTACGAAAATAAAGTAGAGCTCTGAATGCGTGTCAGACACATTTGGCTCAGAGTAAGTGAGCAGGCTGGAAAAATGCGAGTTAGACAGTCTCCAGTTCACCGAGGACATTGTTCAGGAGTGCAAAACTATTTAGCGAACCCAATGTTCTGATACCCAAAATAGACGGAATCTTGTTATTTGAGAAAGAAGAAATTCATATTAGTCTGGAACAGCCTTTCCCATAAAATCTTACTTGAATATATCTTATGTGAGGCCTGTGGTGTGGAATGTCTGAAATGTCACCCTACGAGATGCTTTGTTGTCATGTAAAATAGTTCACAAGGTTTATAGATGGGTGTTTCTACGAAGAGAAAAGAGACGACTGTACTCACATTCCTGAAACACTTGTCAGAGCGCTTCTGAACGCGGACGAGTGAGCAAAAGGAGTATGCAGCCACAATAATGTTAGCACTGTTTCAGTTTTCAGGTGACGCATGATGCCTTCATATATAAATCCGTCATAACCACCCACGTTTCCTGCATTTGTTTCTTAGTGAGGCATGAAGGGCACACAATGACTGCAGCACGATTTCACAGCCTCTCCTGTTGACTTACAGATCATAATGTTGATTCCACTTTGGGTCCAACGTATTTCTCACAGTATCTGTAGAGTGGCATTGACCTGAACCATCCACCACCACTTTGGCAAAGGGATCTGGCAATCCTGTAAAAGAAGACAAATGAAAGGGTTTCGGCTTAGTCACTGTACAAACATTGTGAAATTACCAATACCCCATAATAGGGCAAACAGGCACGACAGCATTTTCAACCCCCATTTGACCCATTCATATGAAACTGCTGTGACAAGTTTATCCCCTTGTTGTCAGCCTTTGCAGTGACTCAGGTTGGCAACTATTGTTGTATGTGATTTTACATAACTACTTTACATATAGTGTTACTATAGTGTTCACCATCTAAATCCCCCTATGGGTTTAAATCACGCTGTCTTTTTTATTTATTTTTTTTTTTAATCTTTTCACACTTATTGTCACAGCAAGAAACTGTCAAAACAGAACCAATCACCAGGTTTTGAACTTTTCCGTGGTCTGTGATGTGCCGTTTTAATGGAAATCTTGGTCAAATCTGCCCAAAATAAACTGTTTGCGCTGACCAGATTCTGTCGAAAGGAAAATATTCTGCGCTTTGTGGTGTAACCATGAAAACATAACACAAAATAATCTAATTAAAAATTCCGGGAGTTTTTAGCTAAACTGGGCTGAACTGCAGGATGTGCTTAAACAGAGCAGAAAAGAGACGAGTATGGAAACAAATTAGAACATCTGAAGTAGTAAAATATCTACAGTATGTAGAGTCCCCATTTTCTCCAGTGTTGGTAACACCTGTGGACACTGGGAGAAATGGTGACAGTTTTTTTTGTTTGTTTTTGTGAAATAAATAATGAAATTCAACTTTGGTTTTTTATCATTTAAGGCACAACTTAATTATACTACAATACTATTTCTAGCCATAGTTGTGATGCTTCCATAGAGATGCAAGAATTAATATTGCAGAGAAAAGCCAGACCACACTAAGTACAAATGTGACAGGAGCAAAACATGTCTGAGTTCAGTCTTTCCCAACACCTATTATTTATCTGTGCATTAGAGTCATCACAAGATGGAAAGCAAACATAGTTAACAAATCTTTCTTCTATATGAGTACTTTGTGTACAACATTTTACACCGTAAACAGAGGCTGTGTGAGCACAGCAATATGTAGATAAAACACAAAACACGTTCTTTTTCCTCCACAGTATCTCGTTGAGCTGGAAATCTGATAAGATTCTTGGTATAGTTATCTGGCGTTCCCTGTGTTGGTCGGTACATATGTACTTTCAAAGCATAGCAAATACCGGAAAAAAATAAAGAAAATGCTTGTGAGAAATGAGTCATCAGTGGAACTAAATAATCAATTTTTTAAACAATGATAATAATAATAACAGAATGTAAAGATCACTAAAACAGATATGACAAAACAGCATAAAGATAAATATTAAAGTGCAGCTTCCTCCCTTGGATGCCTTCCAACAGCGCACATTTAAATCTAGAAATGTTTGTGGTTCATGTTTGAAGTCCCATGTTACTGTGGTGTGGCAATCTTTAGATTTGGACTGAAAAAACAAAGGTGTAACTTTGATCTAGTTCAATTAAAAGCCTTTCAGTCTAGTGTTTCTGTACCAGTGGACCTTATACCTATTACTAGAAATTAGGTTAGCAGTGGGTCCCCATGCGTGCCAGGGTTCCTGGTGTGCATAACGGGCAGACAGCTCCTAGGGGACTTCATTTACAGCATCGCTTCAAAAAGGAGCACGCTGCCACTGCTGACAAAACCCATTCAAATGCACAAGGGAAGGAATGGGACAAAAATAGCAGCATGTAAAAATAGTCTTTACTTACGAAAGAAGTCTTTCTTTGCGAGGTTCTTTGCACATAAGACTAGAAAAGAAGAAGAAAAAAGAGATGTTAATGTTAGAGCCTCATAGAATAAAAATGAAATATGCACAAATTACAAATGAAGATGTATTTTATCAGATAAAACATTTTTTCACATGAAACACATTTATGGAGGTAACTTGCAGTGAAATCAAATTTTTCTAATGAGTAGTAATTTAATTATTATCATTTGTTTATATAAAAGAAATCAAGAATCTGTTTCACATCTGTGACTCAGCCAGTGACTTCATAACTCCCAATAAGATCAAACAACTTAATATTTTAAAACTACAGTTATTTTGCTTAATTATTCAACAATAATTCGGCGACCGTGTTTCTCTCTGGTATTATTTTTTACATGAAGTCCTTCTAATAATTTGTCAGACTTCATTATTTCTCAGGCTGTAGAACTTGAGTTTCTGTTCAGTGGTTGCTGCTTCTTTTTGCCTACATGTTGGTTCGTCCATCCTTGCTCTCCCCTCACAGGCCAGAGGACCAGTTAAGAGTTTCTCATTGTAAAATATTGAATAGACAAGCGCGCTTTCCTGTATAAAGCAAGTCCAAGGGGGTTTGCATCACAGAAAACATACAATAGCTTTCAAGAGAAGGAGCGAGAGAGAGGAGGTTAGAGAGTAAGTCTGTGTTTAGCTCTGTTCTGTCTTGTCCTCTATACCATGCTGTTGTTTTTTTAATTTCCTCTTTTCATGGTATGTTGCAGGGCCTAGGTGAACTGAAGCTGGCTGATGCTTGGTCTGGAGCTGGCTAGACAATCCTGTGACACTCACAGGGTAAGACAAAGTAGGCCAAGCATTAACAATCAAGAGCAGTGGCAGAGAAAGCTAACACAACGAATGCAACAAAAAACAGCAAACCTCTGAGATGCAAAAGGGAGTTAAATAAGCATCAGACACTGCAGACATTACTTGTCAGTCAGTGAGTCAGAGGTGGTGATGAGCTCTCCGCAAAGAGGGAGAAAAACAGTCTAAAAACTCACACACTCTGTTCATTCTCTCTGTAAATGCTGTGGCCTATCCATCCTTTTCTACATGAGCAGACCTGCATCTGCATTTATAATACCTTCTATCTATACCTTCTATCTTTTCCAAACATATCATAGTCTTAATTGCTGGGTAAGACCATCCTTAATCTTGGCCTACAAGTTTAACGAAAAACATTGGTCTTCTGCTGAGCCCTGGCAGCTCAATAGGCTGTAAACGTGATACCAAGCACAAGTCACATCCTTTGCTACTTGTCATCTTCTATGCCGTGCATTAATCTCCGCCACTTCCCCTCTATCAATCAAAAAAGGCAGACATAGATGCCACAAGATTCGATGTACACACTCTCTGCCTAGCCTCAGATGTAATCTATTATTTCTGATGAACAAGACAGATGTGGTTTCCAGAGGCAAAATAGTCCAGTGTCTACAGCTCAATGTAAAGCTTGCAGTGAAAGTGCTAATGTATAATGCTGTGAAAATGCAGATTTACAGAATCCACCTAGACATGAACTGAAAAATACAATACGGGTCATGAATACAGGACATAGGAAAAAGTTGCCGCTGCAAGTTTTGACTGTCTATGTGACTACAGAAAGGTATCACAATGAAAGAATAAAGTCATCTGACTCCCTGCACATAAGCAATGACCATATTTTTTTACCATTTCATTATGCAAAACTGTGGGGGCCTTGAAAATGTTACTGCAACTGCAACTCTGTCCATCACAAGGCCACTCTGTCATATCAGGGGCTCTGTTCTCCATCATTAAGACCCGTACACAACAGCGTAGATCATGTAAGAGCGTGTGAACCTGCCACTAATGAGAAACAAGCACCATTTCTGAAAATGATACGGACAGGTTTGGCAAACAAACCTAGCATTACACCCATTCAATGTGGAGACCTTGACAGTGACCAAAATGACACAGTCAGTCAAATCAGACAGAATCGCAACATGGAAACGGACAATTTCAACACACACCAAATTACACTGACTGGGCTGACTGAACAGACACTAACCATCGGCTTTGTCAGGGGAAATTACACCGTCAAAGCCAGCAGTATAGGTGCAGGCCAAATTCAAGAGGCAGTCAGAAAAGCCGCCTGTCGGGCAAAATGGAAAACATGTTGTCGGCAGACGAGTGAAAAACAGGAGGATCAGAGCTCAGAAATCTTGGCAGAATATTTGTTGACAGAGAATGCAACTGAAAGACAAAATTAGCCAACAAAGTTTAAATGGGTCAGCATCCTCAGCCTAAAGCCTCGCCTTAAACATATTCATACGCGGCTGCTTTCTTTGCAAGTGCTCCAGGGTATCAGCAGCCAAAGTTTAGTAGCAAACTTCAGTCTGTCTGCTGCGTTGAAATGTTCATTTACTGAATACAGGTAATGAGGCCAAAATGTTGCGACAGAGTAAAATCATTCTGCATTCTGATACAAACTGTAACAACTAGAAGCTCCAGGCAAGGACTCCTAAAGCAGTGCATCTATGGGTCAAGTTCTTAAAAACACAAATCTTAGTATGACAACATTTAGTTCCATGCTAATAAAAACAACATTTTCCCCTGTTGGGGTTTGTCACATGGGACCTTGCTGTGAACAGCTGCATTATTATTTAAGGTTTTAACTGTAGAAAAGTATGCCCCTTGTCCAATTTTATGGTGGATTTTAATGTGGAGGATAAATGGAAAAAAATACGAAGTCAAGCTTAAACGACTGGCCTCACATTGAAACTGCTGTATCATCTCTCCACATAGATCACCGAGCAAACTGCAGAGGAGGAGAGTAACATAGGGGTCAGAAACCAGCCTGGTAAATTGCTCCAATGTTTTTTCTACAATGTGGACCCGGTGGCAGTGGACTTTCCGTATGCTACCACCACCGCTGAGGAAGCAATACGGATTAGCTGCTACCAGGTTAAACAGAGTGTACTTGGCTCTCTGGTTACCAAACTGTGCTAATGAAGATTAAGGGATTAACCTGCACACTGCTCCAGTGTCTCAGCCACAATTACCACAGAGAGAAAATCCACTCTCATTGTTATCAGTGGCCTCTCACCAAGTGTGCTGCCTGGCACAGCAGGCTAATGCTACTGACAATGATAAATATGTCCAAGGGCACATACATTAACAGACTCAAGCAATAATAACTGGGGAGACCATAAAGTTCAACCACCAACAAGGTTGTAATGACTTCTGAAGATACAGAAATCGTGAAAAACATTTGACAAGCATCTGATCTTATAGCAGGTTTTGATGGGATGCATCATTGAGTTATTATTTCCCAAATTAGCAGCATATTTTAAATAAGCATCGAATGCAGCAGAAATGGATCAACCCTAACTCATACGGACATGTTTGTTTTCTTTAAATGCTTCTTACATGAGAGATCAGTTTCACCAAAGGGCCTCCTTAGTTCTGTGTATTAAGTTGCTCTGTTCAATCCTAGCTATCGCAGCTAGAGGTAAGAAAATAAGAAATTTTGGAGACCAAGGATTAATTAATGTCGTAATTGCCACTGAAAACATCACAAGTTAAATGGTGAAATAGAGAAACTAGCTACTGTTTTAGCAGTAAAAGTTCTTTCAGCCCTTCTTTAACTCCCAAAATAATAGAATGTAGTATATGAAAGTTCTCTCAGGAGAAATTCTATGTCGTCGCTATTTCAACAATGTGGACTAAATAAAATATACATGTTTTTGAAACCTGCTTTTGACTCACAGCCTTATTTCATTGAGTTATTATAGCTCATACTACACTCACAGAATTCAGTGTCGTGTTATAGCAGCTCCACAAAGATTTAAACGTGCCTAAATATGTTGATAATCTTATCCTGGCTTATGCAGACTCTACCACTGTGGACTCTACCATCAATGAGAAATCAAATCTCATATTGCTGGCTGCCTCTAGGGATCCAGCAGCAGTGAATAGCTGCCACGTGAACAGGCAGGCCATGGTGACCCAGGGCTGGCACAAGACCAGACTCATTCAGATCCCTACACGGAAAGCTAGGTCAACTAGGAAACAGTAAACCACCAGGAAGCCCTGGGGTGAAGCTGTCTTCGGTGTTGTCTGTGGGTCATCATCCCGACCATAAACCCTCAGTTAAACAGCAAGAGGAGGGATAATAAATCTGGCTTCAAACTTGTATACTGCAAACAAGTAAGCTGTGGGTGCAAATGACAAGTATCTAGTGATTTTACTTCACCAAGGGACCGTTGTGTGTACTTTGGAAGGTGATTCTGGAAAGACATTACCTCGGATTACTATTGTTAAGTACAAGGGTGGTAACTGATTCCGGAGCTTTTAGTTGAACAAGTTTCAGCGAGACAGCTGAGCAACTAAACAAAGGAGCTAAAGAAAGACAACTGAGTCATATCCTAAAGTTACAGCAAAAACCTTATTGTATTCAGTTACCGCTTAAAAGCCAACCTGGGCGTATGAATTCTGAATAGGCGACATGAGTTCTGCCTTAAATCATGTTTGTTATCTGTAAATTATTGCCCGCTGCATTAACACTACTTACCTCTAACCATCACATAATGCACCATTTATTTTGTTTCACTGGGGATTTTTTTATAGGCAGAGATCTATTGAATGAATGAGCACACTCAGAATTCATACCCTCAAATGAAATAGGAGACAGTAAATGCAGTGTCCTATATAGTAAAAAGGGAGTGATTATAGACATAGCTGTGGTCTTAATGGAGATATTTTTCATACATGCTAAGCTATCACTAATGTCTAATAATAATTATACAACATGAGGCCCATATGTTTGACAGTATATGTTTATACTATTATATTGTATACTATTAAGAGCTCGCTTTAACTTCAGTTTTTCCACTGAATATCCCTAATTTAGTCATTTGACCACCCAAAGTTATACTCATTCTAAAACAAAGCTGTGATAACAGTTAAAGGGTCAAAAAAGGGTCAACTGTGCTTCATTGTTTTTTTCTTAAAAGGATCTATAACAGCTGCTGTTTTGGGACCATTTGCGAG